CTTTTTGTGAACATACTATTTTTTAAAGATTTATTTATTTATTATGTATACAACATTCTGCCTCGATGAATGCCCGCACATCAGAGGAGGGCGCCAGACCTCAGTACAGATGGTTGTGAGCCACCACGTGGTTGCTGGGAATTGAACTCAGGACCTTTAGAAGAGCAGCCAGTGCTCTTAACCTCTGAGCCATCTCTCCAGCCCCTTGTGAACATACTTTAATCTAAAGCAAGAATAAACTATCAAAGTGGGAAGAGTTGAGTTCTGTATGAAAAATATTTTTCAGTAAAATCCCCAGAATAATCATTCCGACAGGCTATTTGCATATGAAAAGGTGACATATATTTCATGTGCCAAATATATTCTTGATGATATAGCACTCATTCACTTTCTCTATATTATTCCAGAACAATTGCTTAAATTATTTTATTAATAAAAATATATCTGAAGCTAGGGAATAGGTATATAATTTTGATTTTTATTTCCCCAAAGGCTTTTTATTGCTTTTCATTTCTCATCTTGAATTCCATCTACAACTATATCAATACACTCAGAAGGCCTGGGTACAATTCCCAGCACAGAATGATAAAACATATTCAAAATAATAAACTAAGAAGTATTGATTTACCCTACATAAACACATTTTATTCTAATAAATAATCGGAATTTTGATGATGACCAGGATCTTCAAAATAACATTTAATTAGCTGTTTGTAAAGAAGAAATAAAAAGTAAGGAAGCAGATAAGGCTAATTGCAGATGTTCACCTTTGCCTCTAACTCTGTGGCAAACCAACTGTGTTTCCACCACCACCCCCTCAACATACCCCCATCCTCAGTGGACCACAGAGATTTTTCTCTTCCTCCCTTCCTGCCCCCACTCATCTGCTCATCATAGCCCCTATACTAACAGGCATTCCCTGGAAACACATGGGTCAGGAAAGAAGGTGTTTCCACAATCCTTTGGGAATAAGTATTCTTACACCACTGAAAGTAGAAGAGAGGCAACGACATCAGTGGACATACACCAGAATATATCCAGAGAGCCTCAACGCGAGGTCTAGTTTGTATTCTCATTTTATACTCTAAAACCACAAAGTAGGTCAGGCCAGTAAGCAAGAGTTTACAGAAGCCTGCATGTAACAGGGCACCTGGCCATCGTCTCAACTATTCTCCAGGTCATTCTGTTCCAGGCAGCAAGGAAAGTCATGATTGACTACTCGGCAGTACAAGCAATTCTTTCAGTAAGTCACTAAGGAAGTCAACGAAGCAATAATCTAGTAGTAGGTCTTTTCTACACCTTATTCTACTTCACAAGTAGGATAACTGCAGATCTTAGCTTTTCCCTCTTCTCCAAATCCAACGCCCCAGCCTCATGTCCAGCTCTGCAGGAGACCACAGCTGTGGCTTTCCATTTCTCTCTGCCCCCATCACCAGTGGATCATGCAGATGTTCTCCAGCCTTGCTCCCCACTCAGCCCATTACCCAAGCCTCCAACTCCAGCAGGCATTCCCTCAGGACCCACCAGCCTCACCTATCAGAGAAGCTTCAGATCCTCACATTCCCTTCTCTCCTCCAAAGCCAGTGCCACAGTCTCACCCCCAGCTCTGTAGCAGACCCCCTGCTGTGCCTCTTCTCACTCTCTGCTCCATTCCCATGGAACTAAACTGATCCCCCAGTGGAACACAACTTTCCTCCCTCAGCCCAATCCTACTGGCCTATCCACATTCCTAAGAATCAGCTCCCAATACCCAGAAACACATTTTACAGGGATCCCCCAGTGGCCACACCTAGCAGAATCCCAGGAGCATTCACTACCAGTCCACATAGCCACCACACTCCCCTAAGAATCAGAAAAAGCAATAGAAGTTGGGGAACAAAACAGCCACTCAACAAAGACAAGGCCATATATCAGCACCTGAAATTACAATTTTACCAACTCAGATGCCTAAACAACAGCTTAAAATCACAGTCAATAATAACCAGGACAGTGTGTCCTGACTAGAGCCCAACAACCCTACTACAGTAGACCCCGGGAAATGCAACATAGCTGAAGCATAAGGCAAAGGCCCTAACATAGTCTTTATGAATATGATAGAAGTCCCTAGAGAGGAGATGAATAAATCCCTAAAAGAAATCCATGAAAGCACAAACACACAGTGAAAGGAAATGAAGAAAACGGGTCAGGATCTGAAAGTAGAAATAGAAATAAAAAAGAAAAGAAAACCCAAACTGAGGAAAATTTGAAAATGAAAAGTTTAGGAACTCGTGCATTTACCTCAGAGGCAAGCCTCGTCAACAGAATAAAAGAGATAGAAGAGAGAATCTCAGACACTGAAAACAAGATAGAAGAAATGAATACCTCAATCAAAGATAAGGTTGAATCTAAAAATATATTCTGGCACAAAACATGGAAACCTGGGACACTATGAAAAGACCCAATTTAAGAATAATAGGGAATAGAGGAAGAAGAAGAAACCTAGTTCAAAGACTGGGGAAATATCTTCAGTGAAATCATAGAAGAAAGATTCCCAATGTAAAGAAGGTAGTGCCTATCAAGGTACATGAAGCACACAGAACACCTAATAGAAAAGACCAAAAAAGAAATTCCCGTGACACATAATAAATAAAACACTAAACATGAAGAATAAGAAAAAAATTAAAAGCTGCAAGGGAAAAGAACCAAATAACATTTACAGGAAGACCTATTAGAATTACATCTGACTTTTCAATGAAGACTCTAAAAGCCAGAAGGGCCTAGATAGATGTTCTACTGACTCTAAAAGACCATCAAATGAAGCATCGTCACCAGAAATAGGTTACTTCTGGTTGAGTTGTTGACCAAAGGTGTCCCATGGGAACCCTCAAACCAACCAGGCCATTACTAAGGCTCTAGGCTGCTCTCCACAAACTCCCATCAAAACCCTGGTGTTGAAAATAAGACCTACACAACTCACTGAACGTGAAGTTCAGTTGGTGCCTACCAAGAGTTTTCACGCTGGCTGGCTTATCTTATTGGTACTGGAAGGTACTTTGCACACTGTTAAAGGAGAAACATGAATACCAATTCAGCTACAAACCCTTCCATTTGAAACAGTATCCTGTCAGCAAGATTCACTAGTGCAATAGTACCACAGAGCGGTTGTGAGAGTAGCCAACATCTATCTGATTAGATTTATGATCCATTCTGTAGTGAGAGCAGTGGGCTGGCCTGCTTTTCGTCCTGTTGGAACCCATGCCCTACACTGCTTGGATGACTGAGAACCTACAACTAGACACCCCAGGCACCTAGGGAAAGAAACAAATAATACTGTTCTACAAAAAGAATGTCACAATAAAATGACTCCTCACGACTTCTGCTCTACTTATAGATCTGTGCTTGCTCAGCCATCATCAGAGAAGCCTCCTCCTGCAGGAAATGGGAACAAATACAGAGAGCCACAGTTAGACAATATGCAGAGAGTATGAGACCTTGGAATCCTCAGCCCCAAAATAGGGATGTCTCCATCAAATCCCTATCACTATGGCTCAGGGAACTCTGCAGAAGAGGAGGTAGAAAGAGTGTAAGAGCCAGAGAGAATGAAGGATACCAAGGAAACAAGGCCTTCTATACACAACAGGCATATACTCACAGAGACTGGGGCAGTACAGGCCTACATGGGTCTGCACCAGATTGGGTCCTAGAACTGAGAAGTGGCCACATGTACCAAGGTTTTTCTTTAGGGCCACCCAGCAGGCCCCAAATCATGACGCTAACACTTATTAATTATGAATCCTCAGCCTAGCTTAGGCTCGTTTCTGGCTAGCTCTTTTAATTTAAATTAACCTAAATTCTCTTTATCTACATTTTCCCTTGGGCTTTTTACTTTCTTTCTTTCTTTCTTTCTTCCTTTCTCTATCTTACGTTCCTGCTGTCTCCATGTCTGACTGGCTGGTGGCTGGCTGGCTTCTGGGCCCTGGAGTGTCCCTCTTTCTCCTTGTTCTCTTCTACTTTCTCTCTCGAGCCTAGATTTCTTCTCCTATTAATTTTCTTTGCCTGCCAGCTTCACCTGTCCCTCTCTGCCTAGTTATTGGCCGTTCAGCTCTTCATTAGACCAAGCAGGTGCCTTAGGCAGGCGAGGTGAAACAAATGCAATACATCTTTACATAATTGGACAAACGCAGCAAAAGAAATGTCACACAGCTTCATACAGTCAAAGCAATATTCCTCAGCTTGAACAAATGTCTACATAGTTAAAATATCATTCCCCAAGAGACATAAGCCCAGTTCCTAACCCCAATTATTCCAGTTGATAACCACTTGCAAATAAAAATTTAGCTTCTCCAAGGGAGTCTTCAAGGGAAATAAACACTCTTAAGTGTAGACCCTATGCCCAGATATAGATAGCTAATAGAAAAATGAACTCAAGGGCGTCTTTGGAAGTTCCTTGTCTCATAATGTCATGTCAGAGCCTTTTCTCTCTTTTAATATTACCTTTTTTCATTTTATATTTATTCATTTACTAATGTTTTACCCTATAGGTCCTTTGCATATGTTTTATGGCTTCCAGTTTTCTGTTTTTATAGGATTCCTGAATGTCCAAAGAGTGTGTTTCTGAGTCTATATCTGTTTGTTGTATCTTTTCTTGGGCTCTTTTCCTTCTGTTTGTCTGTTTTGTCCTATTCCAATGTGTTTTCTTTTGTTCTATCTTGCATTTCACTTTATCTTATTATTATCCCTTAGATGCCTGTTTGTTTCTAATGAGAAACAGAAAGGATGTGAATCCCAATAGGAGGAGAAGGGAAAAGAAACGGGGAGGAGCAGAGGAAGGGGAAACCTTAATCAGAATACATTATATGAAAAAAAATCTATTTTCCATAAAAGAGAAGTACCCAGCACTCTGCTATGAATCAGCTAAGAATTCATACAGTGATAATAGAATCACAGTCATTTTTTAATGCAGGAAAGCAGTGTGCATTTATACATCTCTAAATTATAGCATAAAGATGCTAGCTTTATACCTGTCAAATCAAAGGCCAAAGGATGGATGATTGCAAAGCTCCAAAAATTCTGTCAATTACCTGTTATTTTCAGAACAAAGAGTAGCAGTGAATATTGTAACAAGAAAGGTCACAGTTTTCTTCCATTCAATTTAAAATGTATCGCATCATTTTTAATCCTCCTGATTAGAAATATTCTCTAATATGAATATTAGAGGAAAGAAAGAGAGAAAAGAATAAAACTTCAAGTTATATTTTTGTTGAGATGGTTAATGATTTGATTGCATGCATATTGGCTTGTTTACAATGTATCGCTGTGTTACAAAGGCTGGCTTTGAACTTTCAACCCCCCTGCTTTTTAAGTGCAGAGGCTACAGGTATGTATTACCATAGTCCCAGCTTGGCATTTTTAAGACAGCAAAGGCAGGATTTTTAAGACATAAAAAGTCTGAACCCCCCCCCCAAACAGACATAGAAGTTATACATTGGAAAGTGAGAATTGATTGACATCAGATTTTACAGCTAAAGAAAGCATCTTAAAATGCCATAAGAAGCACAAAAAAAAGTCAAAATATATATGCTGTAAATGGAGACTGCTTTTCTGTTTCCCAGCCCCAGACCCAAATAATCACCCAAAACTATATTAATTATAACACTGTTTGGCCAACAGCTCAGGCATATTTCTAGTTAGCTCTTATATCTTAAATTAACCCATTTCTATTAATTTATGTATCACAAGGCTGTAACTTGCTAGTGTGGCATGTTAACTCCTTCAGCAGCTACATGGTGTCTCCTCGATTCTGCCTATTCCCTCTCTCTATCTCTGTTAGAATTTCCTGCCTGGCTATGTTCTGCCCTGCCATGGGCCAAAGTTGCTTTTTTTATTAACCAATGATAATAAAACATATTCACAGAATATAGAGGGGAAGCCTACCTCAATAGGCAAAGACTCAGGTAAATTTTAGAAAGGAAAATTGTTTGGTTTGGTTTGGTTTTGTCTCTTTGAGATAAATTCTCTTTAACTATATAATTTGCTTCACAAGTACTGGGATTATTTGGCCTATGCTATCACACCTGGGTCCAGAAGCATAAATTTTAAACACTGAGTCCAACAATACTTTGACTTCATGATGTCATCTACTCAGATTCCATGATACTGACCAGCTATCAAAGCCATGGCTAGAAATCCATTCTCTTAGATGTTCAGATACTATGAACATTCTGATTATTTTTTTGTTACCCTTTAGAACAACTCTGGAAGACAATTAGAATTCTGCCAGCTGGTAGGGAAGATGACTGTGGCAGTGTAAATGTATTTGGCCCCAATAAGCTCCTAGGGAGTGGCACTATTAGAAGTGTGGATTTGTTGGAGTGGGTATGGCCTTGTTAGAGGAAGTGTGTCACTGTGGAGTGGGAGTTGAGGTTTCCTAGGCACAGGATGCTGTTCAGCGTCTCGGTCGATTTCTTGTTTCCTGGGAAATGTAGGACTCTCAGCTCTTACTCCAGCACCACAACTGCCTGCACACGGCCATGCTTCGCACCATGATGATAATGGATTGACCCTCTGTAACTGTAAGCAAGGCATCACAATTAAATGTTTTCATTTATAAGAGTAGCCACGGTCATGGTGTCTCTTCACAGCAATAGAAACCCTAACTAAGACAATGACCAAAGTCTATTGAGTCATAAATAAACTTAGTTGGAAATTACTGCCAGGTGTTATTACAACTTTCTTGTCTCAGATACTGGAATCAAATGAAACTAAAATTAAATTATTAGTTAGATGTATTCCAGCACTTTAGAGTCTAAGTCAGGAGGGTGATTACCAGTTCAAGACCAGTCTGGCCTCCTACTGTTAACCCCAAAAATGGAAGTGGAAAGACCACTGACCCAAATCATCTTGGCCAAATTAATTAAACCAAGCTTTTCTATTGGCATACACCAGCTGCCTTCCCCTAAGGCAGGGTTTGAGAGGTCAACATTGCATGAGAAAAGGACAAGGCTTTTATAGCTCAGCCATAGGGGATTTCCACATGAGGGATTTGGTGGGCAAAATAGGCAGGGTTACAGAAGCAGAACATAAGCACAGCAAGTTAGTCTTAACAACCTCCTGAAACAAAGACATGATCGCAAGGTATTCATAACAACAGGCAGTCATAACAAGGTAGCCATAACAATGCTTTTGAAGCAAAGGTGGGGTTGTAAAATGGTTATTGGCTTGCTGAAGCATGTATCAGATCCTTTCTCTCACAGGGAACAAGTATGAAGGCTGTGGAATCCCTTCCAGAAAAGTTATGGTTCCTCATCTCTCCAGACAGTCCCACTCCTTAAGGGTCCTGAAGAAAGGAAAATTTCTGTTTCAAGTAGAAGCCCTCCCAATCATACATTGTTCACATTCTTCAGGAATGGACAGTTCCAGCTGGGACACCTAAAGAGCACACTGACCGTTCAATAGCAAGGACACAGGTCTCTGGCAGGCCTTTCCTGCTCCCAAGCTGTGTCCTCTTTTGAACCAAGCTCTCCTCCTAAACTCAGGCAGATTTCTTTGTAAAAGTCTTGTTAGCATGCATTATTTTTCACCCTGTTCATTATCAGCTTGGTTCTGGCACTAAATACTACCTGAGGCTTCTATGTGGCTGAAAGAGCTTGTAAGGATAAACTAGAAGAAGAAAAGGGGGAATACTTAATATTTTTATATCTGTAATAATTTGAACACTGATTTCTCTGCTTTTAATATAATTTATCAAGTTGGACTTAAAATATACTTGTAATTTTTCTAGTGTTGGTCTATACATTTCACCTGCATATTAAAATATACTCAATACTTTTCCTAATCTAAACTTTTGAAGAGTATAATAGGCTTTTGGAATAAAGGGTATCCAATTTTCCATTTCACATAGATTTCATGCACTTTAAAGACTGGTAGTAGCATATTCCATTTTGTCTTTTTTTCAATGTTCTTGCCATTATGAATATAGGTGAATGTTGGTATAAAGATTTTGTCTTTAAACATAGTTATAAAGTCTACTAATGGGTCTAAATTGTTTCATATCTGGTCAACTTCACCATTATTTACTTTCCTGCAAAGGTTCTTTATCAGCTTCTTGGAGTTCATTTGTCATAGAAAAAATGCAATATGTGAATGCCTTTGGGACACATTTTCCTCAAGAGTTATAAGATCTAAAATATCATGCACGCGCAAGTCTAATTAAAGTCTGCAATTGTAATCTACAAACACAATAGAAAAAGCTTCTAATAGTTCTATTATTTTCCAATGAGCTGGATGGCTAACCAACACATCAAGTATTCCTAATAGGAAAAGAACCCAAAAATATTTTCTTATGATATTTCAAAGAAATTATTGTCGGTTTTCTCTTTATTCACATATTCCCTCATGAATAATGACTTTATTAGCTGAATATTCATCCACTTACCTGTTTCATTATGTACCTCTGTAGGAATGTGTTACCATGTTTCCTCATGAAGAATGTGTTAGCATGGTAGAATTTCCCTTGAAAATCAGGGAACTAGAAGGAGGAGAAAGAGAAGATTAGATTACTAATAGAATTTTATTATTTATTTGCTTATTTATTTTTCTGTTGGGGAAATCAAGCTTGGGGCTTCATACATGCTAGGCAAGTTTATTCCCACAGAGTTGCTCTCAACACATCTTTCCTTTGCTTGTTATCTCTGTGACTAGAAGTTTCATAGTTCACAGTTACAATTTCCCAGAATTCCATACTTTAACCATAATAAAAGGTGCCTCAAGAAAGCTGTTTCAGCTCCTGTACAGTAGGGTAAAAAAAAACAAAGTAAATTTTTGCCATCTTAAATCTAAAGGAAGGTCTACCTTGTTCCTTCCATTTGAACAGTGAACCTATAAAACAAAAATATTATAAACTTCAATAAGATTTAATAAAACATTTATTAAATCATACTTCAAGTAGCATTTTATCCATTATTTATAAATATTATATGCCTTACTAGTCATATTAGTAGAAATGCTCCTATTTGGCATAGCCTAATTTGATAGCAGTAACTATTCTCAAATATTATGAGTAAACAACTGAATTTCTGCGTTGGGCATCAGTCTGAAAATGGGTCAAAGATTTTCAACAAAACATGTAAGCAGCGAAAAGCAAGAAAGATAGCTAGAGAGAGAGCTTAGAAGGTGAGGGCTTGCTATGTACATATGGGGACCTGAAGTAAATTCTCGCGACACACATTTAGAAGGTCAATCGTGGTGGCGTGCACTTGTAACCACAAAGTTCCATAGCAAGACACACAGACCTCTCCAATTCAACCAGATTATGCAGGATTGTGTAGCACAATTATTAAGTTCCTCAACAAGTGAGAGATCCTGGCTCATTAAAATAAAAAGAGGAAGACGTAGAAAAAAGCAGCAGAAAAGAAGCAGACAGACTTGATGTCAACTTCTTCGTTGGAACAGTAAGCAGCTCCATGCTTTCCACAGGATGAAAGCTGAGCCCATTTACAGGGCTGGGAGAGATAGCTATACACACAGGAAGTTATAGCTATTTTTTTGTGGTTTGACTAGGAACAGGGTGCGCTGTTTTCCATCCTCAGGCATATTGTTTCTGCAGGTGAAGCCAATGGGTCAGACTGGTGCCAAGCAATTCTTTATTGTCAAGGGGTTATTGCTCAGTACAGCCTTTCTCAAGTCATCATGACCTGAGGCTATTGCCCAACGGATGACATCTGAAGAACAACACCTGAGTTTGGCCTCTGGCCTCCACACATGGGTACACACATGTACAAGTGCACACACACATACGACATACATATGAAAAGAAATACAAGAAAAGCAAAAAGGTCCATGTGTTTCATTTTTACAAGTATTTTCAGAGTCTGTCAGGGTCTGGCCTCAACAGGGTTTTCACGTTCCAGGGTGGGGGCATGTGGGCTAGAAATATTAGGGAGAAGGAACAGAGATATAAAAGGACAGAGACACAGAATAGAGTCCCAAGGGCAATTCAGTGCATACTTTATATACCCCACTCCAAAAGGGGAGGGGAACGCAAAAGATTTCTTTACCAAGATACAAGAACAAACAGAGCAATCACCTCTTCAGTACCTGAAGCATGCTGAGGTAAGTATTCTGCTGTTTGCACAGGGCAGGCAGCAAGCACACCCTAGACCAAGCATCCTGTAGGCAGTCACGTCCTGGCTCAAATTTCTTATTGTAACCTTGAAGGAGCAAGAATAGGCGGAACTCTCTGACCTTTGGTCATGGCAGAATGAATACATACACATGGGCTCCGACAATGTATACCACATGTTTGCCAGTGCCTACAAGACCAGAAAAGGGCATCGGATCCCCAGGAGCTGGGAGGTTGTGAGCCTCCTGACATGGGTACTGAGAATAGAATTAGGGTTCTCTGGAAGAGCAGGAAACAATTTTAACTACTGAGCCATGTCTCCAGCTTATATGTTTCTTGATAATAGAGAACATCAAAAGTAAGTAAGCTATGGCATGTACAACTGGAGGGCTGGATGCATTAGCAGAACTTATTATAATTTCAATTTCTGTCACCTTTAAATGGATATTCCTAAAACTAGATCAGTAAAAGTTTCTTAACATCCACTAGAATAAATAAACCAATAAATAAATTTTATGGAAAAATGACTCTTATTCTGTGTGTGTGGGGGGGGGGTGTGGATTTTGAGAATCCAACCCAGGTCCTTATGCTTACAAACCAAACATAGAAGTGAAATGTATTATCTCCTCAGTATTCTTTATACTCCTGTCTTCAATTTATTTGAGTTTATTTAAGGGGGTAGGAGGAGTCAGAATGAGTTGAGAGTGTAAGGATCATATAACTTGATGCAAGAAAAAGAATTTGGGGGAAGAAAAACACAAGTCATATCCTTTTATTAACAAAACATCCAGGGTCTAATTTAAACAGATAAATATTTTAGTCTACAGGAATGAGTCAGTGGTTCTATTGAAGTTGATACTGTTGTACAATATAATTGATTATAGATAATAACAATTGTGGGAGCCCACAGAAGTGAATTTATTCCACCTTGACTAAAGGGAGGTCGAAGAGTTCAGACCTGTTTTTGCTCCTTCAAGGTTATCTGACAGAAAGTTTAACCCAAGGTGTGGCTACTAACGGGACATTTTGACTTAGGGTGTGGTTACTTAGTGTTTGGATATTAAGAAGGTGATTACTTGGTTTGTTCCTTGCATGGCGGTAAAGATGTCTTTTGTCTTCCCCTCCTCTTTGGATTGGGATATATAAAGCCTATGAGAAGTAAATGTGGGCAAATCTCAGTACTTACAGGACGCCCCCCTCAACTCTATCAGTTGTCTCTTGTATATTTCTTTTCTTTTTTTTTTTTTTTTTTTTTTTGGCAGGGGGGTGGGGATAGAGACAGCGTTTCTCTGTAACTTTGGAGCCTGTCCTGGAACTAGCTCTTGTAGACCAGGCTGCCCTCAAACTCACAGAGATCTGCCTGCCTCTGCCTCTGGAGTGCTGGGATTAAAGGCATGCGCCACCACCAACTGGCATATATTTCTTTTTTAATCCTCATGCTTCCCTCCAAGTGCCAATGAATAAACCAGGCCAACTCCAAAAGAACTTTTAAAAATCCCTGAGAATAGATGGTAAGTGCTCTCACCCTCTCCAAAAAAATTCCCTTAGCCTATCAGGAATATATTGATTTAGGCATTCTACAGTATATACCTATTTCAAAGCACTGTGTTATTGTGGCAAATAAATGCAATCTGTAAGTTAAAATTTTTACATAGTAGCAACAGAATTCTGAAAGCTCACAACAGTTCTCATTACAATTATCAAAAAAATGGTTATTTTCTAACAAAAGGAGCACTTAAACACAAAGTAATGATGAAATGGAAGTGTTAACTACCCTGATTGGGTCAGTACATGTTGCATCCCTGTACTGAAATATCATACTTTAACCCATAAATATGTACACATATTTACATAACGGAATATGTAACCAAAGATGGAAATGTCAACTATCCTGATTTAATTATTTAACAATGTATATGTGTATCCGGTTGGTATGGTTCATCCCCAGAAATCTGAACAACTAAAAGAAATTCCCTGTAATAGCTATCTTTTAAAAGTAAGTATTGCTATCAAAAAAAAAGGCAAGGTTTTAAGTTTTATTGTTAAAACAGCAGACGAGAAGTGTAGCCTCAAAATAGCACGTTGTAGTGAAATGTCAGTCCTTTCTGCATTAATTTCAAAGATTCTACCAGGAAGCAAGACACAGTTGACCACAGAGGGAACTAAAGCTCAGAGTTCCAAAACTTGGTGAAAACTATCCCGAGACTAAGGAAAAGTTAAGTGTATGGTTGAAAGAAATGTCTGCTGGAGTAATCCACAAAACGACTAGGCACCCAGTTTGCATTGATGTGTATCAAAGGGAGATGGTGATGGCTTGTGTTTGTGTAAATACGTGCAATCCAAAGGTACCTGGCTTGTATTTGTGTAAATACGTGCAATCCAAAGGTAGCATGTGGGGGATTGAAGGACTGGGGCGGCACTCAAGTCTCCTGTGCTGGCCCCCTGGATTTTCTTTTAACTCTTTTCATCATTACTCAATGTAGCAGTTTGTCTTTGTGTTGGTAGAAGGGAAAGGAAAAACACAGGAAACCAGGCTTTCATTTCTAAATTAAAGCTCTGCTGTGCTGATTGCTCAAATAGCTTTTCAGAGGCAAAACAAGTGGGAACACTAAAATTCCTTGTTTCTACAGACTACGAACTGGGCCCACCACCACTGCCATCACTTTTTTGTAATTCTCAGTAGTAAACAGAGCAGGTTTCAGTGTATTTTACAGATACTTTAAATCAGTGGTTTTCAGCTTGTGAGCCAAGACTCCTCAGGGGCAAAGGACCCTTTTGGAGGGGTGACCTAAGACCATCAGAAAACACAGATACTTACATTATGATTCATAAGAGTAGCAAAATTACACTTATGAAGTAGCAACGGAAATAATTTTATGGATGTGGGGGTCAACACAACGTGAGGAACTGTATTAAAAGGTCGCAGCATTGGGAAGCTTGAGAATCGCCGCCTTAAATGGTCTCAGGGCTTTGTCTTGTTTGTTGTTTTCCAGTTTCATTGCCATTTAGAGAAGATCATGGAAGATGAAAAAAATACAGGCAAAGGATGCAATGAGAGACCAATTGCCATGTAATTTCTGAACCTGGAGGAGTTGAGTCCTCAGCCTTCCACATTTTTCTGGACAGGAATCCAGGTTGGGATGTTAAACCCGCTGAAGTCCCGCCCTTTTTACACTACCCTATGCTGCCTCTACCGTTGGATGGGGAAACTGCAGGTAAAGGCGAGAAGGCGGTGGGCTGGGGAGGGGTAAGGTCCTGGTTAACTACCTGAGTTCAACTACTTGAAATTTTGTTTTAACTGAAAAGAAAAAAGAAAAAAACAAAAAATATCAGCACTCTT